AAGAAAGGTTTCGCCTGCGAAAAGTTCGACCCAAATCCGCAAGTCGAACAGAATTTCGCCTCCAAAAACCTAATTTCGCCTGAGCGGCTCATTCGCTCTGGGAGATAAACGACAAACAACACGACTTGTCCCAAGCTTTAAAGCGCCAAAGAGATGGCCTCGCTTAAAACCACGCCTCGAACGGCTAAGGCTGAGAGTAGAAATCTTAGCATCAAGTCTAAGTAAAACTACTCGACAACTCATCATACTAAGGGGAATAGTATGGCTAGCCCGGTTCAAACGGTAACCGGTAAAGGCACATCAAACCCGTTGATAGCTGAGGGTTTGCTAAAAATATTAAAAGAAACCAAGTGCGCTTGCTTCACCAAAAACTTCTTCATTCAAAGTATTCCAGACCACACGCAAGCCGGTTTAGGTCTAAAAACTTTGAAGGGGGTCTTGTAGACGGTAAAAAATACCTCTGTGAGCTTGCAAGAAACTCACCTGAATGACCAACTCGCCTGCACGAGCCAGAATCAACTGGGATAGCGGAATTTCGCCTTTTACACAACTCGCCTGCTCGAGTCCAAAGTCGAATCCGCCCGCAAGCCCCAAGGCCGCCAATATGGCCAGATATTTGTTACCCCACGTGCAGCGATGGGCTTTCCCTCCTATCTCGACCCGAAGAGAGAGGGCACAATACTCCGAGACCGTCAAGCGGCCGCTCACAGTGCGAAGGACTGGACAGGTGTCGAGTCGACCTGAGCATTCATAAATGCAACTCACCTCGGTTGTCTGCGTCAGGAGACGAATCCGCCAGCATTCGGCGAGCTGTCCAAACCCACTCGAGTGCCAGGAACATGCTTTCCCGCCTCTCTTGACCTGAAGAGAGAAGGCACGGCACTCCAGGCCCGCCGAACAGCCGCCCACAGTACGAGTGAGCAGACAGATGTCAAAGCAGCCTGCACTCTCATAAATGCGACTCACCTCAGTTGTCCAAGCGACGGGCAAGAGCCGCCGGCGCTCGGTGGTTGGTCAGATCCACGCAAGCATCCGACAGCCGTTGTCACGCATACGAGGAGAGGCTTTCCCACTCCTACGTGACGTGGTGCAGAGCACAGCTCTTCGAATGACCACTGGTGGTACGAATGAGCAGCAGGATATCTCCGAATAATGTATGGTCATATCCTATAATTCAAGGAGCAGTCAAGCTGTCCTTCTTCCATTTAAAAGCCTCTTCCAGCAAACTTTGAGAGAGGTCGGAAAAACTCGGAGAAAAGCAGTTGAGACCAAGCTGTTCGTATAATCCTTGCATTACAGCACCACTGCCTGGTTCCGAGCTCCGATCGCCGGCGAACTGAGCAGACCTGAACTCTATCGACTCGAGCTTCTACTGTGTACTGAAGCTCTCCAGCAACCTCGATCGAACAGTCCAAGGGAAGCAGACTCGACACAAGCATCGAGCGAAGCGTCCTATAGCTACCTAAAGTCCCCACACTAAACAAAGAGGGCATTCCCTCTGCTTCTGTTGTAAACATTTGATTATTAATTTGTAATAAGCTTTCTTATCAATACAAACGAAACTCCCTGTTTTCGGGAAATCAAATTTACATCCTACAGACATCAGGGCTACACTTAGGGCTTTTGCGGCATGCTTAAGCGGTAAAAACCGTTTTTTGTTCGAATTGCGCGTAATAGCGCTTTTTAGCACTTAAAAGCGGTAAACCGGCTATTACCCGCATCAGCTTTTAAATGAGAATCGTCCCCAAACCCGACCCCGAACCCGACCCCGAACCCGACCCGTACCCACTATTAAACCTCTCCTCTCCAAGTCTCCCCCTGTCCCCCACTCCCGTCTGCCTCTCCCAGTCTCCCCCACTCCCCGCCTCTCCTAGCTCCAACGACGAGTGACCAACTCCAGTGACAACAACTTCCAGCGACAACTTCAAGCGACGACAACTTCTAGCGATGCCATCCAAGCTCCTCCGATAACTTCTCTCTCCTTTAAAACCCACTCCCAACTACTTCTCTCTCCCAGTCTCCCCCACTCGCCAGCGACGAGTCGACGACAACTTCCAGGCATGTAATAGTCCATTTCGCAAATGGTTTTGGTAGAATAAATTTTCTAGGGATATGTTGCTACAATAAGTTATAGTCAAAAAGTTTTTTTAGGAGACATATTCATGTCTTGGTGCTGTTCTCAACGACTCAACTCAACTTTCTCTCTCTCACTTCCTCCGGCGATACAGACAGAGGCTTCGTCTGTTGGCAGCGGCTTCGTCTGCAACAGAGAAACAAGTAATCAACTAAATGAACTAATTATGATGCTATATTTCTTGAATTTCTTCATAGTTCATTCATATTTCATACAACAAGCTTATCAATTGTTATTTACTGATAATACAAAAAATTTACAACTAATTAATCATGTATATGATTTTTCTTATTATTTAGAATATTTAAATATATTTATGTTTGATCGCTATTTGACTGTGCACTATTTGCCGCTATTTTTTCGCAATAGTCCGAAATAGCCTTAGCGGTACCTCACCGTGACGCGCCGCGATCCACTATCAACAACCTTGCTCCTAAGTCCTAGTTGGTGGTGGAGCACACCATGGAGCTCCACAAATTTGTGGAGCACTTGGGAGTTTCTAAAGGTTGGGGGCCCACTAAAAATTATTATTTTTATTAGATTTATTGTTTTAAAATATATTTATAAAATGTTATTTTTAGAAGAATGGGTTTTTTAAATAATATTTGAGCTCCTAATTGGAAATTTGTTGGAATATTTCTTCTAGTAGGGAGCTCCTAAGTGGGTTCCATGCTTGAGAGCACTCCAATAAAAGCTCCCTACTAAGAGCAAGTGCAGCAAACTCCTAGTTAGGAGTGCTTGTTGGAGAGCTCTCAAGAGCTCTCAATGCCACATCACATGGGTTTTTGTATAAAATTTGGTTTTTGTGTAAAAAATCTCTTTTAGTGTAGCTGCCGGGTAAAAATGGGGTTTTGTATAAAAAAAATATTTTTTTATTCCTTAGGAGCTCCCAAGCGCTCCGGGGCTGTTTGAATCGCGTATTTGAAGGGGAAAGGAGGGGGGAACGCTGCCAATTTGTCAGCTTTTTGACAGCTTCCCCCAAAATCGCCTCTTATAGAGGCGATTTTGGGGGAAAGATACCAAAAACCTGGCTTCGTTTGGATACCATAGTGTTTTTCTTCTTGTGTTTTTGTAAAAAAACACTATGGTGTTGTGTTTTTCCCGTAAAGTATTTTCAAAATACCATGTTGAGTGTTTTTGTCAACATTAGTTTGACCTATTACAACATTAGTATTAAACATATTATTAATATATTATACATTAATTATAATAAAATATATTATAAATAAAATGTTATAATATTTAGTTTATATTATAATATTATTCTAAGTATTAGTATAATATATTATAATATTATATTGTGCTTTAATGAGTTATATTTTGTTATAATTATTATTATATTATAATCATTACATATTATTTTCAAATACTTATATATTAATCATTTTGGTATATCAATTTGTTATTGTTATATATTATATAATATTTTTAAAATAATATTATTTTATTATTTTCTATAATATTATACTATTATTAATATAATATTATACTATTATTAACATAATATGATATTATTAATAATGTTAATATTATTTTATTACTACTACATTATTAATAAATTCATATATTACAAATATTTTAATATTACATAATACATAGTATTAAAAAAATATTATTTTATTATTCTTATAATATTATATTATTATTAATATAATATTATACTATTATTTATAATATAATATTATTATTAATGTTAATATTATGTTATTACTACTATATTATTAATAAATTCATATATTATAAATATTTTAATATTATAAAATATATTATAGTTTCTAATATGTTAGAGTTTGTTAATAATACTTTAATAGTTTATGATATAAATCAATAATATTATATTATGAATATATTATTTTTACATTATTATATTATTTTATAAGATATTTTAATTATTATATATTTATATTATTTAATAAATATTACTAATATATTTGATTAATTATAAGATAATATAGTATAATATAATAAGTATGTTGATAATAACTACATATTAATTATATTTAATATATTATGTTAGATATTATATTAACATCTCCTCAAACTCAAAACCAAAACACAAAACTTAAAACGCGTAAAATATGTTTTGAAATAAGTGTTGTGTTTTTTATTTGAGGATGATTTAGCTCAAAAAACACCATGATTTCCAAACACATGGTGTTTTGTTTTGGTAAAAACACCATAGAAACAAGTAAAACACCATGATATCCAAACGGAGCTTGACAATTTAGCAGCTTTCCCCCTCCTTTCCCCCTCAAAATCCCGATCCAACCGGACCCTCCATAAATTTATGGAGCGCTTGGAAAGCTCAAATGGGCCCCACCTCCTACATGATGTCCACATCAGCCTAAAGAGGCCTCTTAGGAGCTTGCTGGAGCGTTTACAGCAAGCTCCCACTGCCACCTTAGCGTTGGGCGCTGGGGTGACAACTTGCTACACTTGCTCTAAGAAATTGTTGGAGATGCTCTAATGAACCAGACGAATGCAACATTTATTAGCGAGATTTCATTTGATTTGTGTGAGAAAAGTTAGTGGGTCCAATTCAATAATTTGTGATGATTTCGTTGGTAAAACGAAATATTTGAAAATAACCAATAAACAATGAATAACACGTACTTCGTGTACTTGTGAGAACTCCAATGACCACGGCAAAAATAAGAAATGCTAGGGCACCAAACCACACACCAGCCACACTCTCCTTCCTCATTTGCTACAGTCCTACACGGGCCCCAATGGATTTTAAAATTTTTAAATCCCGTGTGGGGCCCGATGTACTGCTAGCAAAGAGACGAGAAGAGTGTGGCTTGGTTGGTGTGTTTGATGGTGTGCCCGTTCACCACTCTGGCCAAAATTCATTCTATTCTGTTATAGCAAGGACCGCGTCAAACCTTTGTTAGGACTTAGAAACCTACAGAAAGAACTCGTAACTCATCCAGAACAACCTCGAAGATGCGCTATTGCACTAAGAAAATTATGACATAATTTAGCAAATTAAATCCAAAAAATGATCTCTTGTGTGGGCTGCAAAGATGATCTGACAACTACCTACATAAACAAAATCAAACAGATACAATCATTCAACAAATTTTCTTTAACCAAACTGTTCATGTAATTTTGAACTGCTAATATATAACATACAAACTTTTGGCGCCCAAACTTATGAATCAAGTTCACAACGTCTGCTTTTGTTCAGAACGGGTCCGAGAGCAAAACCAACTATGCTCAGGCAAATTCTGCAGCGGTCCAACTGCAGCAATGGCAACATCCTGAAATATTAAGGTTATCATTGGTTTATCCTCTCATCAATCAGGATGCAAAATCATGATGCAATATTTATACAAGCAAGTTGCCATTTCGTGAGCAAAACAAAGTAATGCTACCTTATCAATTATGAAGTTTCTGGCAGTCTCCTTTATTGTCTCAGCATCAACAGCATCTATACGAGCAAAAAGCTCAAGAAATGGTATTACCCGTCCATACGTTAGCATCTGTATCCAAAGCAACAGAAAAAAAACCTATTATCTGCCAGACACTGGTACTTTCCACTTGAAACCAATGAACTGTGATATTTAGAGGGATAATCAATTTTAGTGTGTTTCATTGTACATATATACCTGCCGGCCATTATTCTCTGCAACCGCAGTGGATCCATCAATGTGAAGCAAAAGGGAAGATTTTAGCTGCATAGATATATAGCGGATAGAATATAAATATCATGATCCAGAATCCATTATCAAATTAATACATGAGAAAAACAAGAACGGAAGCATATAGTTATGATTTTGCATCCACATTGGAAAATTTAAGATCAGGCAGCTAAATAATTTCTACAACTAGAAGATCAACTGTCCTCTGCATGTTAACAAACATAAAACAAACGAAATATTCCAACTCATCTAGTTGTGGGGCAAGAACTCCATAATCAAAGGCCAAAGTTCCACAAAAAAGGCACCAAAACATATCCTTGTGACGGAAATCCATAATTCCTTGTTTTTTTTGCTACTTAAAAATGGCAATTGTAACTTCTACGGAAAGGTCACATGCTATCCACATGCATATTGGTTGCACGTATCAAGATTATAAGTATGGCAATCCCAGCTTGATGAAAACCCTCATTTTTGCTACTGACCCTAGAACATTCTGACATTGACTAATAACAGCAAATACAGGAAGAATGAATCAAAGGTTAGAAGCACCAAGAATTGAGTTGATACTGTTTATTGAGGAGAAAAGGAAATTAATGAACAAAAGCTTGTAATTGAACTCTATTTGTTCCTTGTAACAATTTCAATCTGAAACTCTGAAACTACCAAAAATCCAACTAATCATACCAAAATAAGGGTGACACGAACAGATATTGACAGTTAAAACTTGGTTTTCCCTTTTCAGTGCGTCCTGTTCTACAGGATAAGGTTAAGAATAGAACAAAGGGCCCACTGTCTCGAGTGAAATATAACATGACATATTTCTATTTATAGGTAGAAACTTCAAAATCATGCTACACAAAAATAAGTAAACAAAGATGTCAACATGTTCTGTATCTCTGGACTGCCAAGGAAATCTATATCATCCTTTCCCTATCATGCTCCCAACATTGATGTATACAACATCTACAGAGAGCTGAAACTCATTAAAAAAATGACAACCCTAGACAAATCTTACAAGCAGAGGAAAATGGATGAAGACGAAGGATTAAAATACTAAATATGAATATCTTGCTGCATTCCTCAGAGACAAAGAGTAAAATATTTCCTGCCAGGGAACTTGTTTCATGTTTGAGGCACATTATCTACCAAATTAAATTAGAATCACTTTAGAAACATATGATTACAGAGATGATAAAAAATTAAGTAGTCACTTCCCCACAAAGATGAATAGTTAACTGATCAACAATATTGAAGGTTTGCTCCCTATGGATAGCTTTCATGCTTAGCACAGAAAATCAAGTTCACCCAAACAGCATATGACTATTCACTTATTTCATGCGCAAAATACTTATGGTGCTACCAAACAGAAAAACTTTTGCGCAGCTTATAAGAATGTTTGACAAAAATATGAATTGTGTTACCTGGTTCCGTGCTCGCAGTACTTCCTCTTCCGACACTTGGTAAGCCAATCTCCTAAGCTCTTCCATTATAACAGTTGACAAGGTCTCCACTGAATCAGGCTGCAATTATAAAGACATGGAATGAGAGAGCAAGATGCATTGCGAGAAGAAAATAGCCAATGAAGTGAATGTGAAAGTGTACTACACACTCAACAGAAACTAGAACCACATAAAACACTAGTGTACCTTTACCATATAAAAATTATGAGCATCAGTAGGTCAGGTCAATGATATTAAAAGTATGCTTAAGCAAATGTATAGCATGATATCCATATAACACCACACCCATGACTAGGATCACAGACAAATTACATTTGAGATAAAACTAGATGCAATTACGAGTTACTGAAGAGAAGCTGGCTTACAGGGGAAGTGGAATAGACACCAAATAATCCCGTGTCATTGTAGTTGGTATTGAAAGACATCATGCTCTCAGCCAAGTTATCTGTGCTGACTCGGCATGCTAGCTGAGATCTGAGAATTTATGCGAACAAATTGTTAAAAACATGTGTATGTTTGGGTGTATCCTATGATTGAATAAAAGTTAGAAAAAAGATTGGAATATATCTTACCCTGAACAATTGCCTACACCAATGCTTCGATTCCATGCTCCTAATAAGCTTTGTAACACCATAAGGGGAATAGAATTTGGGTCAGTCCAAGCTGCCCCTTTGAAAGCTATTGCCAAATGCAATAGACGGATGTCCTTATCCTCCACTGTGATCTATAAATAACCAACAAATCACACTCCTCAGACTACAAACATTAACTATGCATGTTCTAGGAACAAAAGCTTATGCCAAATGAATCAAACCTGTGAGTTAGTGAATATAGCTGGATTTGATTTAACAAGCTGATCTGCAGTGGCTGGATCCTCAGAAAAGTTCTTGAACGATCTACTAATCATGTTCACAATCTCTTCATGGTTAACCGCACCAGCAGCAGATACAACCTAAAAAAACAACATCCAATTTAAACTTCTTTTCCCCCAACAGTTCTACTAAATTTAGGTTGAAACATATACCATACCATTCTATGACCAGAATAATGAGTCAAAATGTATCGTTGCAAATCAACCCTGTCTATAGCCCGAATATTTTCTTCAGGACCTAATATAGTATCTCCTAACGGGTGACCATGAAACGCCGCCATATGCAAGTAATCAAATATAACCTCTTCCATTTGCCCTTGCACCTGTCTAACCGGAAAAATATACGTTACAATATCCATAAGAATCATCAACCCTATAAATCAAGAACAATCAAATAATACTACTTCACCTCTTCCATTTCTCGAAGAATTACACCACGCTCTCTCTGAATAGCATATTCAGGGAACCTTGAGTTCTGCAATATATCAGCAAGCACATCAACAGCAAAAGGCAAGTCCTTAGACTGCACATCGGCAAAAAATGTAGTCTGCTCACGAGAAGTATAGGCATTGAGTCTGGCGCCCATATTCTCAATCTCTTCCTCAAGGGACCGAGCAGTTCGTCGGCTAGTACCCTTGAAGATCATGTGTTCAAGGAAATGGGCGGTGCCGTTGGTCCCGGGAGCCTCGTATCGGCTCCCAGCGTCAATCCAGACGCCGATAGAGGCAGTGTGGATGGCAGATGAGGGGGCAGTTTGCGTTGTGACTCGAATTCCATTGGGGAGGGTTGTGGTTTTGGTTGGAGGGAATCGGAAGAAGGGGGAGTGGTCGGCAAGATTAGGGTTCTGGGAGGTGTGGCGGATGAATCGGGGATCAGGTGAGGGGGGTGATGAGGATATGGGTTCTTTAAATGGGGTTGTTGCGAGAGAGAGGAATCTGGCGAGGGTTGGGGAGGAGAGGGTTGTGAGCTTTCTCTTGATTTGGGAGAGTTGAGATGCCATCGTTGGGTAGGGTTTTCGATATAAATTGAAGAAATTAGGGTTCGGAGATTAATTGATGTTATTGCTGTCGGAGAATTGAAGAATAATCCAGAGAAGGAGAAGTCTTTACACTTGAAACATGAAACTTTAGAAGTGCAGGAGCTAAAAAGCAATTACAGGGGTTGTTGTTGGTTTAATCTGAGAAGGTTCTGTAAGCATGCACTTGTTGCTTAGTCTTGCTAAATGCCTAAATGCAACTTGAAGGTATTGGGGTTTGGAGATAAAGAATGATGGGGATTATTATTGGAGTTGAAGGTAAATTCCAAAAAGGAGAGAGCTTTACGGTTAAAAATTGTAACCTTAAGCTATGAATTGAAGAAAGATGACACCTTTTACGTTGAAGAAAGATGACACCTTTCACTCGTAGCGGAAGCTCGAAGGTGGGCTTGCCTCCGAGAAGAAAGGTAGGGTTTTGCTAGAGTTTTGATAAGGAGGAATTTTTCAAAACAGCTCCAACAAGTTTTTTATATTTCAAAATCGATCTTTTTTTTTATTTATCAAAATTGATCTATTTTTTATCATGTGGGCTTAATGATGTTCCTAAACAGTCGGGGTTGCCAACCCCGACTGCTTAGGACATAAAAATTTCGGGTTTAAGGGTTCTAATTAGGGTTTAACACCCTTCTAAACAGTTGAAGTTACCAACCCCGCCTGTTTAGAAACTTCATTAAGCTCACGTGGTAAAAAATGAGTCGATTTTGATTAAATAAAAAAAATCAGATCGGTTTTAAAAAATAAAAATCTTTGCAGTACCTCCAGTATTTTGATACATTTATTTACCCCTCAAGTTCATCTAATTTACAAGTAAAGCACCCATACAATGGACGTAGATATTTTCACATTTAAGGGGGGGAAAAATTAATGGCGTTTGGATTTTTTTTAATGGAAAATACTTTAGCGCATTTTAGTGCAAGACTTACAACTGGAAACATTTAAGTGCAACTTAGGTGAAAGTACGGGGTATTTAAATGTAATTTAACCTTGTTTCTTTCCGCAAAAGAAAAGTTCTTCAAGGACCCAAAATATGAGATCAATAGGTGGGATAAGTAAGGTGTCCCTCTCCTATTGGATAACGAGTTAGTCATCATTAATGATGACCAACTTGTTATCCAATAGGAGAGAGACACCTCACTTGTCCCCCCTATTAGTCCTATATTTTGGGTTCCTGTAACAAAGCTCAGAAAAAAATGCGAAATAAATTATTAGAATATCCTTCATATTCAAGAGCATTTATTTCGGCCCCTTGTGTTTACAAATGATTTATGTGCGACAACAATAAAACTTTTATTCCAATATTATAGGTTAGCTATATAAATAGAATACTTTTTATTCAGTCTACTGTATAATTTTTCTCTTATGTTAAGATATTGTTAACATATCCTTCTTAATTACTTCTTAATTACTTGTAGATAAGTTCTTTCAGTGCACCTCTAATTTTCTTTAGTCTATTAGTTTAGCTATAACATTCTTAATTGTGCATTACGTGATCTTCGTCCGAATAATGTTAATATATTTTCCATTTGCCAAATGCTATTCTCTGTTCATTTCTCTGGACAGAAGTCTTAGAAAAACTCAGAAGAAAATTTCAAGTACATTTTCTTGTTCATAATTTTCCGTTGGAAAAGATTTTCACATGTGTGGCGTGTGGAGCCCATACCATCCATTCTACACGTACACTCACTCGGAAACTATCCAAACGGAAGCAGAGTACAGAACTACATTCATTCAAAAAGATGAATTGTTCATTACATTTTCAACAATGGCCATATTCTCACAAATTCACCATTCATCATTACTGACATTCTCATTTTCTATCCGCATCCCCTCTCCTCATTCCCCAAAGATTTCTTACGAAAATTTTCGAAAAAAAATTATATGGATGCATACAGCAACTAATTTAGATTCAAACGCAGCAAAACTTTCTAAAATCACATCTATCAACTATTTATCTCACTTCTTGCGAGCAACACTCAGTAAGTTACAATAATCAACTTCCAAATTCTCTTCTGTGCTCAAAGAGTTATGCCCACTGCTTTTGTCAACAAGCCGCTTCATCAACAGCTTAAATTCCACTCAAATCTGCTTCTGCTGTTACTGATGGGGTAGTAGACAACTTCCCGTTATCTTCAGACTGTTTCTTCTTGTTCTTTTTCTTCTCCTTCTCATGTTTCAACTTGTTAGACGCACTGTCACCTTTGGAGACTATTTTGGAGACAGTAAAACCAGCTTCCTCGAATACCTTTGCTCTTTCAGAGGTCAGAGCGTTGCGTGATACAACATCAACTCCATCATAAGTCCACACACCGAGAGTGGCTTCACCCTTGAGTCCAATGGCAACCCAACCTAGACCAGAAACTGCAATATCAACAGAATCGGCATCCCACCTGTTTCCGCTCACACTGAACTCCCTTCTGGTCCATTGGCTGAGTTCTTTAACACGGTCATCACCAATAGGTGGCTGCATTTCAATGAAATTCATCAAACTGGATCAATACTTCAAATCTCATGGACATTTAGAGGTGGAGAAAAAGGACGGTAAATTTCACACCAAAAAAAAACCAACCTCGCCCTGCAGGAATGGTGAGAGGTTTTATACAAAATCCCCTAAACTATACATGTAGGGAATTTTCAAAATTATATCTCCCTAAACTGTTGGAAATTCCCATAGGGCATCAATAGGTAGAGTAAAAAGTCTAATATGCTCTTTTAACTTTTTAGCTAACCCAAAAAGGGTAATGTAGAAGTTATATTTAGTAGATAGAGATAAACTTGTCCAAAATTATCATGAACACTGCACATGACACCTTAAAGTAATTGTCGTAAGTCACAGGACTTGATTGAGACAAGTTTTAGGGGGTTTACTATGACTTAAAAAAGTTCACAGATGTTTTGTGCAAAAACCCCAAAATTTAGGGGTTTATTTTTCAAATTTACCCAAAACACATAAGAAGCAGTGTAAATTATCAGAATAAAAAGAGTGAACAAGAAAATATAAACCTGCAATTGACGACCAAAGTGGTCTTCCATCATTCTGGATGCATTTTCGGTTCTCCCCATGTGAAGGGGAAGAAGTGATGAAGCCCATACTGTAAGGTAGATTGATTCGACTGATGACTCTTCTATATCCAGCCTCACTAGCCCACCGATATGAATGGAGTGACCTGCCTGTTATCAGCAATGTATAAAGAGGAAATTGTATGAAAATTCAGAATTTGCAATGGACTGGATGATAATAGCCAAGACCAATAAGGCTACACGATTTCCAGAATAGAACTACTAAGTTTTCATACTAACACGATTTCCAGAACATAGCTTAAGGTTTTCTCGTGGTGGAAAGTGAAATATCAGATAACATCAGTTCAGGACACCTCCTGTCTTAAAATGGGATAATTACAGCCAGAATCCCCAGAAATCATCGAATCTGCCTTTTTAGTCTTCTATGCCTTTTTCCAAGTAAGATTCCCTTCTCTTGTTTACAACTGTTTGGTCATTAAATTTTGCAGTAAGTTGTAACTAAGAGAGGGCTAAAGCCAGGTCATAGGCAGCCATAAACTATGTCAAAAATACAAGCCATCTTTCTCCATTAAGACGTTGATTAACTGCTTCCAGCCAGAAAGAAGTCTCCTCCTAAAGGTTAAGCATAAGCATACTTCAATGTTATCCCTCTCAAAATGAATTTTGTTAGGGGTAATAATCATGTTCACTTCGTTCTATATTCCACATCTCGTTTATCAAAGCATGAGGGGTAGTGGCATGCCATCTTGACTCTGAAATTTTCTCAATACCCTAACTTTATGCAGATTGAGGCTCAGCCATGACTGTCCAAAGCTTGCTTAAGCTCATTTAGTAACTTAAATGAACAGAAGTTTAAACAAAATTCTATGCTGATATGCATATAATAGCATGGCACAAACATCTAAAAAATTAGCACATTCTTTAACAAAATTTAATATAAAGGCCTGCGGCACTGGTAAGAATGTACAGCCTATCTCCACGCCCAATCTGTTTCATGGATCTTGCTATCTTTCAAATAGACATGTAAATCTTATCTTCATACCAAAGAGAAAAGAAGGTGAGTATCCGCAAATTAGAATCAGAATTTTGCAATTCTGTGCTCCTAAACCCAGTCTATAAATTTGCAACCACATGTTTACGATGTGTTATTTTTAGCCCAAGGGTATAACCAAGCACCAATTTAGGGTGTCGGTGACACCACCATAAGGGGCTTACCACATACGCCCACAACACTCTTGTCTAGTTCCATATCTAGGCAAGTCATAAATCACTATTTGTTTCCAATTACTTATCAATTATCATCCTTGTTATCCATTTCAAGACCCAACTCTTCCTTGCCCCCCTCTAGTTGTCCTGGTCAGATTTTTTAGCAAGCACAATGCACCACTGATCGCAGATTTAGGTTGATTTAGTATCAGCACTAAGAAACTCCATAGCCTCCTTCTCCAGGACTAAAGATGCATGTGTATAGACATAAGGGACACCATTTTTCCACAAGAATTCCAAATGACAAGCATTCCTTGTCTTATGAAACATCAAGTTCAACAGGCGCTCCATCATACCTAAATCTTGATTAATTACATTTCATAATTCTCCCCATATTTCAAACTAGGAGATTTCTTGCCAATTAGTATCTTAAAGAGTAATATATATGGATAAAAATGCATAACCAAACACTAAATTTAATGAAAGCCTTGCTTTTGTACATGCAAGATCCGAAAACACAATATAAATGAACACCCCTTCGACGAAGCATGGAAGAGTTGCATCTGTGTCAAAATATGTAAGATTTTCTCAGTGATAGTAACATCATACTCTTAAAATTTTCTAAGTGATAGTAATATCCTGCTCTTGATGATGTAGCTTTAACATAATCCTTATTCTTGATGATGAATTCAAGATGCAAACCGAACTATATTGATTAATTTGATCATGGATTAAGAATTAAATCCTTGAATATGGTTTAAACATTGTTTTCATTTTTTTTCTTGTTTCTCCTTATCCCAACAAATCAATATTCTCGAAAGTGCTAGGTGCTTCTAGGCGCCGAACATAGTGCCTAGGTGTGACGTACGTGTTTTTAGAACCAAGGGAGGAAGGCTTTTTTTTCCAAAAAATCAAAATCCTATCCTCACTATTTTATCTAAGATGAACTTGGATCTAGTTCTGATCCGATCCATTTTAACATGACCCTTCTCTTCACCCACTGTTATGCTTAAGCTAACTCTAAGCTCTTTTTTATGCGGTGGGTCCAAAAATTAAGCAGGCAGCTTAGGTACTACTTAGGCCTAGGCAGGGGCGAGCACTTTTTAAAACATTGCTACAGATTAGGGATTCCTCTCAAATAACCATATGCACTCCCAATCAGGACAACAAGTTGGTTTATTTGCAACCTGAATGCTATTTTGACGCGAAAATAGGAATATATACTAGGCAACTAATTCATCTCTTAAATTTCACCAAAGCAATGAAAAATCAACCAACCTTAACCCGGTAAGTCCTGGGCCTGAGCCCCTTCCCAACAATCACCAACCTTTGCTCCTCCGCCGTCAGCCTTGTTGTAATCTGATACGGGTGCAAAATCCCCGGCGTATCAAACAACCTCGCCTGCCCACTCAAAACCCCCTCCACCCTAACAATCCCAATC